TTGCCCTGCATTGGCGATAACTATCACATCTCTTTGGACCTGTGGACCATGACTATTTTTTGCCAAGACACGAACATCGTGACATCGTGATATCGTGGCATTGGTATCGTGTCGTGGATTGATGCTGTAGTAGGATGCGGGATGCGGGTGTTTGAGATGCTCACGCTTTGCGCCCAGCGATTCGATCTGCGTTTACCCTTGCCGGACCAGGACAGTAACAAGATGAGTCGACAAGAAGAGTCTTGGAAAGGGCGATAGAGAGGAGGTCTGGCCATCACGTCAAACACGTATCTGCTGTGCGGATTTCGCAGTGTGTCGTGACCGGGAAGACCAAACCAGTCTGACCATAGCGAGAGATGGGACGGTTTGCGGGGCCCTGACTGTCGGGGATAGGCTCGTCATTTTGGTGACAAGCTCATGTGAAGTGGTTGCCGACAGGACCGAGTCCCAGACTTAGTGCAGGCCCAGACCCAGTCTCCGCCGTTTACCTTCACCGCATGATGGGCCCTGAGAAGCGTTGTAACTTACGTACACGATGGGGGGAGCCTCAGGGAGGAGGGCTATCGTCGTCGGAGTGCGGCACCAGCCAAGCCTTTCCATGAACGTTGGGTTTGGGCCGTGTGCCGCGCCTGTTGTCTTTAGACTGCGTGACTGCGTCTAGAAGAGAAAATAGAAAGGAGACAAGGCACTGGGGGTTTCCGAGCGACGCAGCACGTAACCTTGGAAGTTAGGGTAAAGGTTGAATATGCAAGCTCGTCAGCGCCAGCAGCCAGGGTAGGGTAGGCTGGAGAATTTGCTCGATTTTATTATCCGCTTGGGTCGAGAGATAACGAGTCGTGAGGTGGACCGTGGAGGTAGGAGAGATGCCAGCCAAGCCCAAGGGTGAGCCAATCCGTCGCGGAGATCAGCATGGCAGCGAAGCAAGCAATATCTGCTCTGTGTGCTTAATATGAGCTTGTGCCGGCGGCCCGCAAAGCACCTGTGGACCAATTTTCCCGCGAGTAACCGAATGCTGTCAGCCTCCCAAGAGAGAACCGAAGTTGTCGCCAGAGTTGATCGCGATATGCCGTGGCTCTGGAGGTCGTGATGGCCGATGGGTTGTAGCAGCGTCGGGCTGATCGATCAAGATGGTGCCAACTTATGTACGGATAGGCATAGGCTTCCATGTGGTTGCTAGGGATGTGATGTTAGCAACGCCAGCACGGAGTAAAAGGAGAGGGAACTTGCTAGCTGAAGTGCATAGGAAGATACGTACCGCTCAGCCGTTTCCTGTGCGTGCTTACCTACCTTAACCTACTGCGCAGTAGGTTCTTGTTCATTTCCAGCCCAGCGAGAGAGGGAAAAAAGGGGGGTCGAAGGGTTCGAGACGGGCGGACGGTATCCGTACGGATCCAGAGGGACGAGCACAGAGCACAGAGCAGAGACCATCTACTCCGTAATCCGTACACACGCAGCCAAGTAGTAAGGGAAAGGCAGAAAATACCCGGGCTACCGGGGATGTGAGGCTTGTACGAATTGGGAAGAGTGAGAGAAGAATGGAGGACAGAAGAAACATGGATGGGCCCAGCGGCCGTGTGCCGTGCCACTCGACCCCGAAAAAGGCTCTATGGCCCACAGACTTTGCCAGTACGTACCTGTAGCACACCACGGCTAACGCCAAGGAGTCAGATCAGTCTCCCCGGCGGTACGTCAGGTTCGACAGGTTGGGCGGGAGGCACCAAATATGCACGTAGCCTCGATACGTACTGTATCTCCTGCCGCCGCAGAGCACCTAGGTACCTCACGACTTTTTCTCTCTCTCTCTCGCTGTGTCTCCCTCTGTGGCTGTCGCGTGTGTAAGGTGCCTTCCATGAGCCAATCTTTCGAGGCAGGTAGATTACGATGAACAAAACAACTCGAGACCTGTGCACTTTCTTCCCCGACTGTTTTCTTGTCGCGCTCCATTGTCTGCGTGACTTCCTAACCACAAACGCCAATTTCATTGAACGGAACGCACTTTAGCAGCCCGTCCCCCGGTACCTTACCCATAGCTTATCCATCCTCATAATTACGCACTTCGTACGGAGTAAGGTACGGATACTATATCCTTCCCAGCCTTATTTGCCGCAAGGTTTCTAATCCTCGCCAACTACCTTAGGTCTTCGTACAGAGCACCTACCTCTTTCTCTTGCCCACCTCAGCACCAGATCACCGCCTTTCTCCCGAATGATTTCTCACTTCACTCTGCTACCTCTCCCACCCCACGGTTATACCGTCACCATCTCTTCCACACCACACACTCCCGCACGCGCGCACATACACACATACACACATATATACACACGCACACACGCACACGCACACGCACATCGGCACAGCGTGTACGCCCACACATTACCGTATCTCTCTTCCCCATCTCTTCCGCTTGACGCCGCTGTCAGTCGGGTACCCTCGCACTGCTCCAAACGGCCTGCATATGCGAGAGATGGCTGCATCCTTCCTCCGCCTACCTTGCACGTACATATTGCGGTACAGCCTGGCTACGCACACAATCTCTCTCTGCCTGGTCCAAGCCAAGGGTTGGGGGAACGGCAGGCAACCCCATCCACACCCCCCTGCTACGGGCATAGAGACGGACGCAGACGCCCCCCTTCACTTGGTTGCTGTCGCAATTCTCCTCTCACACCTTGACCCCTGACGGAACCCCCCCTCCTCTCCTCTCCTCTCCGAGGACACCTCAGGTAAGCCTCCGGCCTTCCCTCCCCACTCTGCCTAATCTAGCCATGATCCCCCTCCAGCCTGGCGGCGATGGCGGCGGCGGCGACCGGATCCCATCGAGCTATTTGCAGGTCCCAAGCAGAGCCCACAGGTGTACCCGCGTCATGTGTGTATCCTGTATCTGCGGCTTGGTCCACACGCGCACGAGAGCACTACAGTACCACTACTGGGTACACGATAGCGTACGACTACCTATGGCTACGTTTACGAATAGTCCGCCATTTCTGTCCGCTGGCTAGCGTAGAGTGGACCGCACCGCAGGAGAGAAAAACAGCGTGCGTGCACCACCTGCTCAAACCGATCCAACTGAAGAAATGAGGGGGCCCAGCCACTGCGCCGCCAACTGACGATAGCTTCGTCTCGAGAAGCTCTTTACTGCTGGACTCAACCACCGATCCACCGCGACCTTTGCAGAATGGCGGTTATGAGCTTATTCGACGACTGTGAAGTCTGGTGCGACACAATCTAAAGACAACAGGCCAGATAGCCCGCCCACAAGCCCATTCGGTATGGTGGTTTCGAAGAGGCCGACGAACCACCAAGCCCATCGCATCCCGATCATCAGGCGCTGAAACCGAAGATCTCGACCGGGGGAAGGTTGCCGAGGAATAAGGAATGCAAGTGTGGTGGTGCCTGAAGTGTGACGGGAGAAGGCAGCATGCCAGCCAGAACGCCAGCGACAGGAACACCAGCCCGCGCGAGAGAAGGGTGGGAAACTCTCAGGAAAGGTAAGGTAATTTACAACTGACTAGCGAGCTGTTGCGGCACGGATGAAGTCACATCGGCGTCCTGAGTGGATGGGTGCAGCGGTTGCAGCGATGACATGAACCAAACTCAAAGTTCGTCTTTTCTTGTGTTGGTTTTGGCTTCTGGCATTTCTTCGACGGTGCGATCCACTCCCCCGATCAGGATCTTGGAGCTTGGAGAGGAGGGAGGGGGTCGCCAGCCAGCCATGCACTCACCTGCCCTGGGCACAGCCTAGCCCAGCCCGGCTCAGTCAGCCAGCCCGGGCGGCCAGACACACCAGTGGCACCACAGAGCCGGACTCAGACTCGGAGTTTGATGGATTGGTGGATGGATGGTACCTCCCGTCTTTTCAGGGGGCGCTTCCCCGGAGAAGGGCTGGGAAAGGCTACCTATCCGTACCCTTCGGTGAATATTAACCTCCCTAAGCCTGACCTGAGGTGAACGATGAGGTGACCACCTGGAACTCCAGACACGTGGGACGTGCCGTAATACAGTTTAGCGGCGGCGGCCTTCAACCGCAGCGTTTCCCCCTTTTCTGGGGGAGAATTATTCCATTATCTTTATTTCGGTGCGTCGCTCTCTTTCTTTCATTGTTTTGTTTCTGGTAATTTGCTCCCTTCTCTGACAGTCGTTTCGGTGGATCTTCAGTGTACCCGTTGAAATCAGTCTTCGTGCACCTTTGTTACGCAGTAGAATGATAGCCAGAAGCTTGTTGGTCACGACTCAAAAAGGTCCGAACGGGAGTACTGGAGAGCAGTCTGATTACCCATGGCTATGTCCCATGTCGTCCGCTGGCTTGAACATTTGCCTCAGGCAAACCCGTCAAGACCCATACCCTCGGTGTTCTTCCGCCACAGTGACTGGGAGAGTTCAGAGAGGGTGGCGCCGCGATGCGATGCGACATGGCTGTCTCTTGTTTCAAACTGGCTGCGAATGGCATGTCCAACTGGACGGTCGCTGACATTCTTTGTCCGTAGATCCTCGATTGGACATGCCTCAGGGTGCAGCTACGACAAAAGTTGACTCTAAAGATACAGAATCACAGAACGCCAAACGGAGGAATCCCGCGCACTTCTTCCGTCCGCTCCCTCTATTTCTGAGCTACCACAGCATGCATTGCCTTCGGATCATACCGTGTTTCTCTTCTGGCACAGAGTGCAGAAACGTGATAGTGTGGGAAAGGCATCAACCCTCGCGAAGCGTGGTCCAAGACTGCATCACGTTACGCAGCAGTATGCGACGCTCGCATCTGAGTGTGTTTAATCTGATGGCAGATTGTCACAGTCGATTCTGAGGCCTTGTTTGGCTTGTTGGAAGCTTGCCTCGGATTTTGTCGGATTTCTAATGAGCTTGCAACACCATTGGGGAGCAAGGTTTGACGATGCCTTGGCATCATGGCAGGCCTGGACTCTTGTTGATTCGACGCGTGAGTTGGGTCCCACTGAAAGCCGCCGCGCCGCCAAGTTTGAGAGACAGTCTAAACAACAGTTGACCACACGATACCTTCTTGAAGGCGGTTCACCGATATCCTGTGCAATTAACCTCGGAAATGTCAGGCACCTTGGTGATGGACTACTTTTGTTATGGCACATGGTACAGGCTCTGGCTCTGGCTTTTGGGACCATCTCACGTCTTATTGCATTTGATGACAAACGAAGCAAAGCGCGTCGAGCTGCCGAATCGTACTTTGCAGAGCAATGAGGCAGAAAAAAAAAAGGGGAGGGGTCGGGTCTGTCTGCAAGATGTGTTTCGCTAGACTCGCAGAGGAATCATCCGCACCCACATCTTTATCACAGATTTCCGCAGTGAGGTCGACGTCCCCATACACCAAGGTACGTTATCCACCACTCTGCTCCCCATTTCGGAGCTGCAGGAGCCAAGCACCAAGCAAGCAACCAAGAGGCCGATGGATGGATGGATGGATGCCTTCAGTGTAAGGTAGCCATGACCCTTGGCAACTTGGGAAGTATCCGTACGAATAGAGGAAGGGGATGAGGGGCTACATTGCGTTCAGTGGGAGTGCCCGCCGCCCGCCTCCATGAAATCTGTACGGAGTATGTAGTGTATGTATGGTACGAAGTACTTTGTGTTCGTACTCCGTACCTGGGCTTGGCGTATGGCGTGGACGTGGTGGACGTGGCCATGGTTGTGGTTGTGGACGACGGGGGGAGAAGAACATGGGCATGGATGGGCTAGGCGGATGGGCGTGAGCGTGAGCGTGAGCGTCCCACGGGTGGTGAAGCGTGAGAAGAAGAAGAAGCGTGGGTGTGGCACCGTGGGTGTCGGCTCCAGCTAAAGGGACGCTAGCCAAGTTGCTTTCTCAGATGAGATGGGCTGGCTTGTTCTCCATCCGTGCCCCGTCTTTCACCCCGGCAGCAGCATGCACCCTAATGAGACACCCATCCACACCCCTGGTCCCCATCGTCTCGTTTCGCTCGCTATGGATCAGCTCTGCCGCACCCCGTGCCGTCGCCAAAGTAAAAGAAAAGGAACGGAAGGGTAAAAGAGTACGTACTTTTCGAGGGTTAGGTGAGTTTGCGAGAGTGATGGAACCTATTCTCGCAGCCTCCCAACTTCCCTCTCACCTTCTTTTCCAATTCCCCAACTTCGCCCTGAGCTACAACGGGGGCGCTTCGATCCATCGCTGTCGGGTCTCGCATCCTTTCCTTACTCACAAAACATCATCATTGTCTTGTCTTGAGCGCTTTCTGCGCCCTTCCCCCCATCACCCCCATCATCATCCTCTTCTTGTTTGGCTTTTCTGTAGCTTTTTGGCTTGTCGCCGCTTCAGACTTTCTCGCCCAGCCTCCCGTTGACCGGTTGCACGTCGAACCTCAATCCGTTCGATTCGTCGCAACAACCGAGCCCGCGCCCTTGGAAGCCGCGAGCTGTTCCTCATCCACCACAGACAAGATCAAAGACTGCATGGCCTCGCGCCTCTAGTCTTGAATCTTTCTCCAAGTAAAACTGCCTTTTATAATTGCGACGTTGTTGCTGGTAGCATCTAGCGCCTGTCCGCGCGATCATCAAGACAATCCGTCGACGCATTCACAGGAGCACGCGCACACCTAGTACGCCTCGTCTCCTATCACAATGGCAAACCATCACCCTTCGCCGACCATGGCCATGCAGGGGCAGCAGCACGGCGGCCCCCCTGGACCCCCTCCGCCGCCGGGCATGCAGCAAGGGCAGAACTATGCACCTTCGCGACAAATCCTTCTCATGAATGAAGCTGTCTGGATGCAGATTGGTAAGTGCATCGCGATCCTTCATTGACGCGCAGCGTGTTCTAACAATTGATACAGGCAGTTTCGCCGAGCTTCTTGGTAACCTCGAGGAGGCAATGAAGGCCTACGATCGCGCCCTCCAAGCAAACCCGCAGTCGGTCGCTGCAATGAATGCCATCAGTTTGATTCTGCGAACGCGCGAAGAGTTTCACAAGGCAGTTGACTACCTGCAAGCCATACTCAAAATCGATAACACCAATGGCGAGGCCTGGGGCAGTCTGGGTGCGTAACAAGTCCCCGCCCTGTACTTAACCAACGCGACTCGTGCTAACTGCTCACAGGTCACTGCTACCTTATGATGGACGACTTGCAGCAAGCCTACGCCGCATACCAGTCCGCCTTGGTCAACTTGAGGAGCCCCAGGGTTAGTAGCGCTGCCTCCGGCTCTCTGGGTTCTTCAAACACTAATACCGCACAGGAGCCCAAGCTATGGTATGGCATTGGTATCCTTTACGACAGATACGGCTCTCTTGAGCATGCCGAAGAGGCCTTCTCTCAGGTTATGCAAATGCAGCCGGACTTTGAAAAGGCCAACGAAATTTACTTCCGTCTCGGAATAATATACAAGCAACAGCAGAAGTACGGCCAGAGTCTAGAGTGCTTCAAGTACATCGTCAACTCCCCGCCCCCTCCTCTCACCGAGGAGGATATTTGGTTCCAAATCGGCCACGTTCACGAGCAGCAGAAGGATGTAAGTATCTACCCGTCGGCGATTGACAAAGACCTCAACTAACGCTCGCATCAGTATGATAGTGCCAAGGCCGCGTACCAGAGAGTTCTGGAACGCGATCCTAGTCACGCAAAGGTTCTGCAACAGCTGGGCTGGCTTCATCACCAGCAGAGCAGCAGCTTCCAGAGCCAAGAGCGCGCAATCGAGTTCTTGGAGAAGTCCGTTGCCGCCGACCAAGGCGACGCGCAAAGCTGGTACCTTCTTGGTCGGTGCTACATGTCTCAACAAAAGTACCCCAAGGCATATGAAGCCTACCAACAGGCCGTCTACCGCGATGGAAGGAATCCGACTTTCTGGTGCTCTATCGGAGTACTGTACTACCAGATCAACCAATATCGCGATGCCCTCGACGCGTACTCTCGTGCCATCCGGCTCAACCCCTTCATTTCCGAGGTCTGGTATGACTTGGGCACATTGGTAAGTGCAAAACCTACGAAGATCGAACAGCTAGAAGAAAAAATAAGAAGGCAACGTTACTGACCGACTTAGTACGAATCTTGCAACAACCAGATCAGCGATGCGCTTGACGCCTACCAGCGCGCTGCAGAGCTTGACCCTCAGAACCCCCACATCAAGGCTCGTCTGCAGTTGCTGAGAAACGGTGGCGCCAACGGAGGACAGCCTCCTAGCGCTCCCCAGCCTGCCGATGTCCATCCCCAGGCTTACCAGGTCGGGCCCCCGGCCCCCCAGTGGGGAAGCTCTGCTCCTCAGTCGCAGCAGCAAGGACAGCAGCCTCCTCCGCCTCCGGGACCCGGCGGTCCTGGAAGCAACGGCTGGGGTCGCCTCGCGGACATCAACCCTCCTCCTCAGCCGCCCAACCCGTATGAGCAGCGTGGCGAGTTCCGTGGCCCAGCTCCTCCCATGCCGCGACAGCCTAGCCCGAGACAGGAGCAACAGCAGCAGCAACAACAGCAGCAGCAGCAGCAGCAACAACACGGTGGTCGCCCGCCGTATCCCGAGCCGCTTCGTCGGATGGCTAGCCCGCCATCTCACTACGCAGGACCGCCGCAGCCGCCTCAGCAGCAGCAGCAGCCTCAGGGTCCTCCCACGTCTGCGCCGCGCACCATCAATCCCAATTACACTCAGCCGTCTTCTGCTCAGATGCCTCCTATGAATGTCGGCCCCAATGGCCCTCCCAGCCAGCCGCCTCACTTCCGCGGCACCAACAGTCCCCGGCCTGGCGAGAGGCCCATGCATGACAACCGCATGCCCTCCCCCAAGTCGGCGTACCCCCAACACCAGCCTCCTCCGCCACCGCCGTACAGCCATCACCCTGACGGTCCCACCCCCGGACCCATGGAGGCTAACGCCCCGCCTCCACCTCCTCCGGGCTCGATCACCGGAGACCCTGCGTCGCAGCGTAATGAGCATGACCGTCCTCCTTCTGTAGGCCCCAAGCGCATGCGTGAGTGGGAGGAGGAGTCCTCTCACAAGCGACCGGCCAACGACGAGAACCGAGCCAGGCTCGACGACGTTCGCCCTCGCCGCCCGTCGACTCCTCCGGGACCCCGGGACCAGTACCGCCGCAACTCGTCAGAGGCTCGTCGTTTTGAGGATCAACGCCGTGCCGAAGACCAGCGGAGAGCGGATGATCAGAGAAGGGCAGAGGACATTCGGAGGGGCGAGGAGCAGCGCCATGCCAACGACGGGTACCATCCGTCAGAGGCCGCGCACCACCAACCCAACCACCCTATGCCCACCAACCATCTCCCGCCGATGCAGTCTGCCGCTGCGCCGATGCAGAACATCCTCCATGACGGACCGCAAAACGGACCCGGACCTGCTTCCGGGCCCGCTCCTGGCGTCAAGGAGTACCCCGCTGAAGAGCGCCCGCCCATCGAGCACACCCCCGCTCCCCGGCCTCCGCAGCCCAGCGAGCCCGAACGTGCAGCGAGAAAGATGGACGTTGATGAGGACTATGACGATAGCGGTGAGGATGAGAAGAAGGGGGCCGTCGCCACTACCAACGGGTCGGGCCCGGCTCCGGCGTCGGGAGAGACTAAGACGCCTACGAGCGCAAGCATCAACGGCCTGATGGGGCCAACTCCCAAGGTTGAGTCGACTTAATGGATCAACGGCTTTGACGTGGTTTGCTTTGTTTTATTTGTCTTGAGGGATCCTGTGTTCTCTTATCGTGTATACCATTTCCTTCCTGTTCCTCGTTCTGTCTCCAGAATCCCCTTTCAACGGGATACCGGTGTGTCTACCTGAGGCACTACGGTAGCTTATGAAGAGAAAAGTAGTGGTGAATCTAGACTGCTTGAATGACTAAACAATATTAAACCATATTTGGCTTCACCTGTCCAGACCAATTGACCACCTAAAGGGGCGAATGACCGTGTACTCTCAGAAAAGTTCTGCATCGGGTAAATGACGGAGACTTCAAGTGTTTGGAAGGGTCCCCCCCTTCCATGGTGGGATGCAATCCAGTCTTCAGGTACGTACCTTCTTTTTGCAGGACCTGATTGTGGACCTAGGAAAAAGGCGCTTGGACCAGGCGAGAAGAAAAAAGTGCGAAAAGTGTTGGTCTTTTCCTCGCCATTGCGCTCACGTGATTAGGGTGGTGCGTCCCGGCAGGAGGAAATCCGCCCACACGACATTTTTGCAGCCTCAGCTATCCCGACTTTGAGAAATTTCCCAATCGTCACTCCTCTCGATTGAACCCGACAACTAACCTCCAGGTCAATCATCAAGATGTCGCACCGCAAGTACGAGGCACCCAGACACGGCGTCAGTCACACCTATTTCGACAATTACTATAACTCCGGCTAACTTTGCTCAGTCTTTGGCCTACCTGCCGCGCAAGCGTGCTGCCCGTCACCGCGGCAAGGTCAAGTCGTAAGTTTTGCTCACCACCTTTCTCAATAATTTTTTCTCGAAGACTTGGGTCAAGTGAAGACAGGGGCTGACAATGGCAATCTCTTGCACAGCTTCCCCAAGGATGACGCCAAGAAGCCCGTCCACCTGACGGCCACCATGGGCTACAAGGCCGGTATGACCACGATCGTTCGCGACCTCGACCGTCCCGGTGCCAAGGCCAACAAGAAGGAGGTCGTCGAGGCCGTCTCCATCATTGATACCCCACCTGTACTACCAACGCAGCCCGCTTGGCTCTGTGCCTATGGCTAACAACTCTATAGTTGATCGTTGTTGGTCTTGTGGGCTACATCGAGACCCCCCGCGGCCTGCGCTCGCTCACCACCGTCTGGGCCGAGCACTTGAGCGACGAGATCCGCCGCCGCTTCTACAAGAACTGGTACAAGTCCAAGAAGAAGGCCTTCACCAAGTACGCCAAGCAGCACTCCGAGAACTCTGGCGCCTCCATCACCCGCGAGATCGAGCGCATCAAGAAGTACTGCACCGTCGTCCGTGTCCTCGCCCACACCCAGCCCCGCAAGACCCCCATCAAGCAGAAGAAGGCCCACCTCATGGAGATCCAGATCAACGGTGGCTCCGTCGCCGACAAGGTCGACTTCGGCTACGGTCTGTTCGAGAAGCCCGTCGAGGTCAGCTCCATCTTCGAGCAGGACGAGATGATCGATGTCATCGCCGTCACCAAGGGTCACGGATTCGAGGGTGTCACCGCCCGTTGGGGTACCAAGAAGCTTCCCCGCAAGACTCACAAGGGTCTGCGTAAGGTCGCCTGTATCGGTGCCTGGCATCCTTCCCACGTCCAGTGGACTGTCGCCCGTGCCGGTCAGAACGGATACCACCACCGTACTTCCGTCAACCACAAGGTCTACCGCATTGGCAAGGCCGGTTCCGACAACAGCGCCTCCACTGAGATTGATGTTACCAAGAAGACCATCACTCCGTATGTTTTTGCTCTGACGTGTGAATTTTCCGGTAATTTACTGACAATTTCACAGCCTCGGTGGCTTCGTCCGCTACGGTGAGATCAACAACGACTTCGTCATGGTCAAGGGCTCCATCCCCGGTACCAAGAAGCGTGTCATGACTCTCCGCAAGTCCATGTTCACCCACACCTCGAGAAAGGCCCTCGAGAAGATCGACCTCAAGTGGATCGATACCTCGTCCGAGTTCGGACACGGTGCCTTCCAGACGCCGGCGGAGAAGAAGCAGTACCAGGGTACCCTCAAGAAGGACCTTGCTGCTCAGTAAATTCCTTCTTCTCATCAAATTTCTTTGTATCATGGTCATGGCATCGGTGTAGAGGGTTCACGTTACTTTTCGGATGGTTTGGGACACCTTTGAGGTTAAAATGAGTGCCGAGAATTCAAAAGTCAAACCAATGATACCTAGATGACCAACCCACTTGTAATCCCTCGTGTGGCTCGTGAAATGTGATTGCAATTGTACCAAAGTTGAAATCCATCGTAAACAGACATTCTAGATGGGGATCAACCGCAGTATGGGCTATAGAGTATCAATTTCGTTCAAAAAATGTGGGCGCTTAGTATCGACATCCAGCCAATACCGAAACTGTGGGGCGGCAAGGTCTGACCAGCGGGAGTGACTTGAGGCGTAGCTAGCCGGCCCCTCGTTGCGTCATTCTATCTGTACCCAACCATGGCGTGCAGCTTCCCGCGAACCAAGTTCGCGACCGCAACACCCCTCAGTACGCTATTCAGCTCGTCCGCAGCCCATAAGAAGCGAATGAAGACCACGACCCAGCGAGCGCTCTACCGAAATCTCTGCCAACGGACCTTCTCCTCATTAACGATATCCCTCACTCCGCGCAACGCTTTCACACTACGACAGCTGAGTCCTGCGCCAAACAGCAGTAGCACCAGCAAGCTCCTCCAACCTCCTCAGACTACAGCCAGCACATTCTCGACGTTTACAAACCTGAAAATGTCTGACGCAGACTACGCGGCGTTCCTGGACAAGGCGAACCAGGACCCCAACGAGGGGCACGCCACCACGACCAGCAAGAGCAAGGAGTTCAAGACGCAAGACAAGGGCGTCGAGGTGCCCAAGGCCATTCAGGACGTGTTGAAACAGGACAAGGTGTACATCTCGGACGCGGACGAGCCGTTTGTCGGCGTCGCGCTGCAGTGGGACGAGGCTGGCAAAGGTCTGCCGGACGAAGGTGAGTTGTGCCGTGCCTCCTGCCTCCAGCCCTTCCATACCAGGGGAGGGGAAACATGCATGCGATGTATATAATACAAAGTGACTAACAGATGACGTGTGTAGTCGAATTCGCGCAACTTATTGATCACCCTGACGCCGAGAACGCGGACGTGGAGCTCCTCGACCCCGTGGACTGGGACTCAAACGGCGATTACAAGGACGTCATCGAGGCGGTTCGCAAGGCGGGCAAGGGCAACGACGTTAGAGTTTACAAGGTGCCAAAGGGCGGTGTCCGGACGGAGTACTGGCTCGTCACGACGGACGGGAAGGGCAAGGAGGCGAAGTTGGTGGGCGTCAAGGCACTGTCTGTCGAGAGCTGAAAAGTTCTCTTCCGATTAGGTACCACCAGGAAAACCGCATGCAAAGATGAGGCGGGACGGGAAGAAGTGGATGAGGCAGCCGGTCAGCATGGTCCTCTAATGGTTCGATGAGTAGTGACTGATTTATATGTAGCAAAAACGTAGCTCATGCTTGTACAGCAATATTACCGATTATAGCTGAAATCCCACCTGACAAGGCGTCTTCATTCTGACCAAACTCATTTGCCATACCGGGGATGTGAGCTGCCTTGACTCTCTTACTCATTCAGGTCATCGATCTAGACCAGATTGGCGGAGCAATGGGCTGGCGGTGGGGTCCCGTTGTGTCACTGATCCTTGACGCACACGCAGCGGAGGTGCCACTAATGGCAACGCCTTGTCTCTCACCTTATCGAAGCGCAACGGCAGCCAAATTCCGCGTTATCGGACCCTACCACCCTGCCTGGACTATGTGTGACCCCTCCACGCATCGGAGGCTAAATAATTCAATACAAGTCCAACCTTTTGGATGCAGGTGACTCAGATCAACAAACCAAACACACCAACTTGCCCTCCACGCAGCGCCTCACCGACATATTCCCAGCTTCGCCAACGGACCGGATCAGAATGTCGGGACCGGTAAGTCTTGTCAGCTCTTCAATTGACCTCCCGCCAGCCCGCTACAAGAAGCAAAAGAAGCACAAAAAGCTAACATACCGGCCCGCTACTTCAGCGCGCAGTCGTACCGTCCCTCGAGACGGTCAGGTCCATCCTCGCCTCCCCGGCCACGACCAACGCCGCAAAGAAGCCCACACTCGTCCCCGTCTACCGCCAAATCTCCTCCGACCTCATCACCCCGTCCGCCGCCTACCTGAAGGTCTCGGCCCACCACAAGGACTCGGATTTCTCCTTCCTCTTCGAGAGCGCCGCCACAGAACAAGTCGGCCGCTACAGCTTCGTCGGCGCCGGACCCCGCAAAGTCCTCGCCACGGGTCCCGGTCATGGCCCCGAGTGCGACCCCCTGCCGGCCCTCGAGGCCGAGCTGGCACAGCACGTAGTCGCCCACGTTCCGGGCTTGCAGCTCCCGCCCATGGCCGGCGGCGCCGTAGGCTACGTGGGCTACGACTGCGTGCGCTACTTTGAGCCCAAGACGGCGCGGCCCATGAAGGACGTCCTGCAGATCCCCGAGTCCCTGTTTATGCTCTTTGATACTATTGTCGCCTTTGACCGCTTCTACGGCGTCCTCAAGGTCATCACCTACCTCCACGTCCCAGAGGACGCCTCCCAGCTCGAGGCCGAGTACCAAAAGGCGACGCAGACCATTGATGAGCTCATCGCCGTCCTCAACAGCCCCGACATCCCCATCCCGGAACAGCAGCCCATCAAGCTCGGCCAGGAGTACACCTCCAACGTCGGCCAGCAGGGCTACGAGTCCCACGTCACGGAGCTCAAGAAGCACATTGTAAAAGGCGACATCATCCAGGCCGTCCCCTCGCAGCGCTTCGCCCGCCCGACGACCCTCCACCCCTTCAACATCTACCGCCACCTCCGGACGGTGAACCCTTCCCCTTACCTGTTCTACGTAAACTGCAAAGACTTCCAAATCGTCGGCGCCTCCCCCGAACTCCTCGTCAAATCCGAAGCCGGGCGCGTCATCACGCACCCGATCGCGGGCACCGTGAAACGCGGCAAAACGCCCGAGGAGGACCAGCGCCTCGCCGACGAGCTGCGCAGCTCCCTCAAGGACCGCGCCGAGCACGTCATGCTCGTCGACCTGGCGCGCAACGACGTCAACCGCGTCGGCGACCCGTACACGGTGCGCGTGGACCACCTCATGGTCGTGGAGAAGTTTAGCCACGTCCAGCACCTCGTCTCGCAGGTCTCGGGCGTGCTGCGGGCGGGGCAGACGCGTTTCGACGCCTTTCGGAGCATTTTCCCCGCAGGCACGGTGTCGGGCGCGCCGAAGGTCCGCGCCATGGAGCTGATTGCCGAGCTCGAGAAGGAGAAGAGGGGGATTTACGCCGGTGCGGTTGGGTATTTCGGGTACGGTGGCGTTGATGAGAAGGGCGAGGAGGTGGAGGGTGCTATGGATACGTGTATTGCGCTGCGGACGATGCTTGTCAAGGATGGTGTGGCGTATCTGCAAGCTGGTGAGTTTCCCCTCGACCCCCCTTTTTTTTTGCCTTTTGCAGGTCTCCTTTGACGGTGAGATGTTTCGTATACTGACGTGTGATGTTCTTAGGTGGCGGTATCGTGTTCGACTCTGACGAGTAAGTTGTTGTCCTCCTCCGTTACCCCATAAAGCTGTAGACTGACTTGACGCCTAGATACGACGAGTGGTTGGAGACGATGAACAAGCTTGGCGCAAATATGCAGTGCATAACGACGGCAGAGGAGCTTTATTACGACCAGCAGCAACAAGCGGCGGGCAAGTCGTAAGTTAGTTGTCTTTTTTAGAAAGCAAAGAAAAAGTACCCATTTGAGCCCATATTTGAAAACATCGTCCCTTAAGCACGTAGTCGCTTTCATACTCTTTTGGACTGGTGAAGTCCTTCCTGGATTGGTAAGGTACTAGCAGGTATGGGAACGAGAAACTGGACGTGGAATATGCAAGGTGGAATATATACCAGACACCCAGCCCAGGCGTCAATGATTCAGCGCTTGCCTTGTCTCTTTATTCAATCGAGGTCGCTCTTTTGTCAACCAAGCCCAATCGATCCCCATGGTCGAGCGGTATAACGCCCTGGTCCGTTAGTAACGAACTTGGTATGAAATCTCAAGAAGTCTGTATATTCCAGTACAGATGGAGGGTTTCGTAGGGTGGTCTAGTTCGAATCTCGAACTGGGCACCTGAGCTTTTGTCTTTTTGACCTGTTATTTTGTTTCTTCTTGCTAACCCCCTCTTTTTTTACTACGGTCATCGTCATACTTCGATTCGGCTGGGCAGGGTTTGGGGAGCCCAAGAGAAGGTATACCTCAAGATTTTCGCTCCTGCCTTCTCTACTTCCGGTAGACACAAGGGACGAAGCACTTGACTAGCGATTATCCATCGTAGTACAGGTCATAAAATCCTAGTATTAAAAGCTTGGTATTGTATTATATGATGCCGCAGATCCACATATCCAATGCTTGAATCGCCAGCCACCCATTGTGCTTCCACACAAACTCCAGAAAAGACTGTCATGAACCCATGGTATAAGTGTAAGCCTCTCAAGGTAAATGCCTTCCTTCAATGAACCCAACCTTGTTCAAAACAAATGATACGAGGGTATAAAGACTGACCCAACACCAACCCCAATCGTCGCCAGCGAAGCCCACAACACCGCACCCGCAACGACGCCGTCCTGCAGGATCCGGAGGTGCTTGTTCCGGCTCGCCCGGCTACGCTCAAACACGCGCCGCCACAGCCACCGGCGCTCGTACGCCAAAACCCACTCTTCGCTCTTGAAGGACAGATAATTCTCCGCGCCGAACGTCGAGAGCGCGGATTTGCGGAGGGGGTCCACGGCGCCCGCGACGCTCTCGCTCGTCGCGGCGCGACGGTGAGGGACTCTTTCCTTCTTGTTCTTGTACATCATGCCCGCACCGTTACCACCCCTGCCGGCTTCCAAGTCCGGGACCTCCCATGGCCGAACGTGGCGTCTGCGCGCGAGGTGGAGGGATAACGAGACGCCGTCGAGGGCCGCGACGAGAATCGCGAGACCGAAGAAGAGTAGAGGTGTAGAGAGGAGGCGGTAGTATCGCGAGAACGAGGATAGGATGAGCGCGACGTCGAGGCCGAGGCCGAGGGTGAGCAACGTCAAACCAAGGAGACGGAGGAGGTGTGTCGCGGCGCGGTTCGCGTTGGCCATGCTGTGGCGGATGAAGTCCGGGTGGAGTTTGCCGCGAAGGAGGGCCTCTGCTTTTTCAAAGGCCGGGAGGAGGGCCGAGGGGTGCGTTGTCGAGGATGTTGCTTTGAGGACGGCGGTGCGGTCGTCTTTTGTGAGGTTTAGGCGGCGCGGGGCGTCGGCGTGGATGTAGTGTTTTGTTATAGCGTCGATGTCTGCGCGGAAGGGTTGCGATGATGCTGGTGCTGGGGGAGATGTCAGTGTAAGTCGGATGCGTGTCGTGTGAGTGGTGATGAAACTCGGTGATTCTTGAGGGGGTAGCATATCATGAAGCATTGGATAAATGAACTTACCTTGCGGCACTGTTCCCTCTTTAACCTCTTCCTTTTCACCATCTCTGAGACCAGTTGCTCTAGGGTGAGAGAAGTTCGTTGCCGAAGACGTGTTCCGCGTATGGTTCCCTCCCACCTTTGCCTGGGCGTAGCTGCTATCCTCGTCGAGCATCTCGAGAATGTTGCTCACTTTACTCGAGTTCTTGGCCCTCCTCTCCTTGGAAGTGAGCTTCCTGCCGCGGTCCGGATCCCATCGCGGCGCAAGAGCACGCTGCTCGGGCGCGAGAGTCGTCCACGAGTGGACGTAGCCGCAGTACCATAGGAAAAATTGCAACGGTTCCGCGTCCTGCTCGACGTAGACGAGATAGTCGACAAAGTCGTTTAGTGAGCACGGCTGAAGACATCTGACTGTTAGTGAGAGTTTCCCTCTTGGATTCCAGTCGTCCCCTTAGAGGACACATGCGCCGGCAGGGGAATATCACTCACCGATTCCGTGTTATTCCTGATCACTTCTTCAAAGGCGAGCTGGGGCGGAATCCACTTGTCGGTCCGCTTTGCTCGGCGGCGGTAGCGCCGGCAGTCCTCGTCCATCACCGGCGGGCGCCATGGCCGTTCCGGACCGGGAGTCTGATAGAATCTGAGCGACATGTCGTTCCACCCTTCTACGCCGCTTGACTGTGTTGCTCACGGTCTTACTACTCGTGCGTATGAATGGAACATGTAGACGTGAGAAATACGAGGTGGATGAGCCACAGGCTCAAGACTCGAGAAAGAAAGAAAAATTTGGAGCTACGAAGTAGAGTCTCTGTCCAGTCTGACACTCAGACCTCTCGAGGATCCGATATGGGGGTGTGTGTGAGCGTGTGTGGTGCGGAAGGGCGGGCGGGCTGGCCACACCTATGTATAATACGAAAGGGAAACGAGGAGACCAGGGGATCCAACAGAACAAAACACTAGCTTCGAGATGTTGCGTTCTGGTGCGCGCCGTGCGCAAGGCCTGCAGCGGGACGAAGGAGAGGCAGACCGCTTGTTCCTGCATGCCGCATCCGCAGCCCAGCCGCGCTCTGCCTCAGCTTCGTCCGACACGGAAAGAGAACTTGGCTCGCCCCCCGCCCCCCAGATAATGACATGGAATATAGAGAAACAGCGTGCCTGTGTATGTGTGTGTGTGTGTGACAGAGGGACCTAAATACCGGCCCACCGATGCAACAGAACCACGCGGCGTAGACATCTTGCGCAAGAAATAGAGGGGGGTGACCGGGTTGAACTTGTCTGCGACCTGTCATGCTCCCCGGCTGGGAAGCACTGCAGGTGGACGAGCTTGGGGTTCTTGTGGTCATGGTTCTGCATCACGGCTCGTGGTATCTTTTCGCGGCTTATACGCCTGGCCGCCATAACATGAGCCGCAGAACTGAGAAAAGCTGACGGGGAACAGGCATCAGGTCCGGCGGACGCCGGCAAGGGCGGGTCATGCCTCTGTCCTGCTTGCTTTCGCTTCTCCCTCATGATCCTCCTCGCGTATCGGGGCTCTGGGGACTCGGGAAGGGGTCATGTGTCCGCAAGACTGACATGGGGAAGAGACGGGACGGTGAAGAAAGAGGGCAGGAGGTCGCGACCGCGATCCAGGCCCAGACCCGGGAGGTTCGCATGCCGGGAAACGGGAATGAGTGAGACGTGATATAGACAAATATAGGGTACGATTTCCCTTGGAGGGAACGAATGATACAACAACCAACCCAGCAGAGGAGTGTAGAAAAAAAAGTTGCAAAATGAACGACCAGCCAGCATACTCTGACTCGATCTGACTTTCGATGTACTGCGTAGGTAAATTTGATCCTGTGATGGAGCGTTCGATTCGTCCCCTCGTGTAAGCTCAGTTCGAGCAACGAAACGAACCAACCTGAATAGGCATAGAAAGGAACGACGGTATTGGCAGCTCTCCCTCCCGCACTGTCACTTGCAGTGGCATGTCCTGCGTTTACTGCGTCAGCTTGGGATGCCCCTGGTCAGAGACCCATGACAGCGGTTCCACGAATTGTCGTGGGGTGTGTTGTATCCAACTTGGCACCTGCATCTGCCCGTCTGGTTTTGGCTGGCCTTGGTTGACCTTGGAAAACCTGACTCTGGCTGCTGGTGAAGGTAACCTGTGTATCCGTAGAGAGGACTGGGTTCGGCACAACCCGACGAGGATACGAGTGTGGCCGAGAAAGTAAGGCCAGAGCGTCGTGGTCCCTTGTCGAAAGGAGCCGGAGCCCACATGACATGAAGGGGGCTGCTGGCCTTGTTTCAAGGGAACGTGCGGAAAGTTGATGAGGTTGATTCACGGAGCCATGGGCGGGACACGGGGAGACGGGTAAGATGGAGTTGGTTTGGAGTCGGGAAAATCGAAAAATAACGGACGCCAGCAAGGGCAAAAAGCATACGCCGATTGGCTCCACGGCGTGGCATCAAGCTATGTTTCAGAGAGTTCATCCTGTCCCATCTCCCCTTCCCCCCACTCCCCGGGGCGTGAGACGAGAGTTAGATACCTGCTCAGAGCCTCAGAGGTGAGAGCTCCGGTCCAAGACTCCGTCGTCTCCACGGCAGAGCCGGGCACTTGCCGAGAAGAAGCCTGGGCCAGTCTGGTCAATCATTGGATGAGCCGCAGGTCTTTTGCTGGCCGGTCCCGGGTCGATTAGTGTTGCGGCTGATGCTGTTATCACAACAGCCTGAAAAGCACGGCATATTACTGTCTGCAGCATTGTAAGTATGCTCGCCAGACGGGTTGCCTGGTTTCTGTAGATTTATGCCACTGTTGCTATGCAAAGGGAATTTTGGAGGTTACGCACCTCTCGCCTCCAACGCATGGCAGATGCGTTGTGCAGGATTGATCGACAAACTGACATGCGCGAAATGCTCTAGATCCCTAAGCAAAGAAGGTTCTATTCTATCAAGCCACGGTCTTACCATAGATACAAGAGCGGCAGTCTACTCTCCCTCGACGATAAATATGCACAATAGGTATCGCTTACATGGCGCCGTCCCTTTTTTTGACCTGCTCGGTCTCGAAAGAGAGTCCCGCATCCTTTCTGATAACCCCATAGATTGCAGACGCATCGATTTCTCGATCAATTCCTTCGGCGTACTCTACGGCTTCCTCTAACTGCTGTAAGACGAGTGACAGCAATCTCGGCTGAGGACCGCTCTTCAAGGCTTGTCTTCCGGCCGCTAGTCCATTGATAGCCGGTGACCACGGCCGCTCGCCCCGAGGAGGCATGTAAGCACCAGAGGTCAGCCGATTGGACACCATCAGCCCGACCGGACCAATCTGCTCCTTGATCAAGGCTTCCGCGGTTTCGACTCCCAATCCAGCTTTTTCAATCAGAGTATGAGCGACACCAACCACCTCAACCATACCTATCGACAGAGAGTTCCTAGATATATGTAATTTCCATCAGCATTATTATTCTTCAAAGTTAAAAGTTATGACAGGTGGGGGGGGGGGGGTTCCTTACGCTGCAGCCTTTAGGTAGCTCGCTTGACGAACGTCTTCGCCCGTAGGAATGATACTCTTCCCCATGACACCGGTAACGTAAGGTCTCACAGTGTCAATGGAAGCCTCTTTGCCAGCCATTATCCACAACAGCTGTGCACTGGCGGCAAGAGGACTGGCTCCGACAACAGGAGAGGCGACATAGTCTGCTCCTCTCTCTTGGAGCCTGGACCTAGCCGTTGCCGAAGAGGAAGGGTGAATTGTTGAGGTGTCCACTATGATCTTACTATCAAGATAATCAACCTCGAGAATCGTATCAAGCACAGATGCCACTGCTGCATCGTCCGCCAGAGACATGAACACAATATCCGAATTAGACACTAATTCGATAATGTTTGATGGGGTTCCACCAAGTTTCTTCAGAGGTGCACCGCGAGACTCTGTACGATTGTAAAAGCGAAGATTTGGTTCCTGCTTCTTGGATAGATACTTTTGCAAGTTGGAAGCCATATTAAGGCCCATGGAACCCAGACCTGATGAGAATTAACAGCTGCAGTTGAAGATGACGTATATGGTTGAGAAGGATGTACGTGCCTATCCATCCCAACTTAGGGATAAAGGAGAGCTGCGAGGGTGGTTGTACAGTATGCATGTCGAGTGCAGTTAACGAAGCTCTTGCGGACTACGTGAGAAGCGGAAAAGAGGTGATATTTACCCATTTACATACTTACCTTGGCATCATTGCACTGGATGAGGTGATGAACACCAATTTCCGACCTCTTTGAAGGTTTTACTGACAACGGCGTCGGAGATTATACCAGACTTCCGGCGGAGGCTCTTCTTTAACTTTAGACCCGATGGCATCGGGGTAGAGAGGAGTTTATTCTCACGGCCACAACAATGAGAAAAGTTTGAGGCTCTGATGGTATTCACATATTTCCTTGCTTTTCTATAGGTGCTAGATAGAGTTGACCGCGAGCTGGGGCATAGCATGAGCACTATGTAGCAAAACCGCCATCACCACGAAGAAGTTACGTTCACTCTCGCCTAACATAAGGGAATTCCCATCCGCCAACAAGCACATACGACCATACCCATCGGAAAATTCGGGATCCCGTCCGCTCTCCCATAGACAAGCCGATGAGGGCCAGACTAGTAGTTGAGTCGGTGACGATCAGCGAATCCCTGGTGTTGTATGTTTTTTGTTTTTTTTTGCTTCCTCTCATTTTCTCTTTGACCCGCCAAGAAAGACAGGCAGGCAGGCAGGTAGAAAGGTAGCTTGATACATGAGTAAGGTATGTGGGTTGCAGTCGCAGAACCGGTGATCAGATCGCCAAATCTGCGTGGCCTGCCTACTCCGTACACCCAAGGGGGGGCACGGAGGCGCTAGGGTGTAGGAAAATCCGGAGAGAGGAAAAAGAAAGAAGAATTGAAAAAGATTCGCAGATCCGTTTTCCCTTGTGCTCAGACATTGAGCCACATCCCATACTTAGCTCTCGGATCCACGGCTGTTTGGCTGTGCCCCGTACAGATACCTTGGGAGAGAGGATTCAACTCTTACATCCAATTGCCTAAAAGGCAAGAGTTTGCAAAAACTTCAATCTGATCTTTTCCTCTCTCTCTCTCTCTCTCTCTCTCTCTCTCTCTCTCTCTCTCTCTCTCCAAAACCCACAGCCACAATCTCATCACGTCACACCGTCCCGACGAGGGGACGGAGGGGTGCACAAGCTTCAGTCAAAACAAGTCAACAAGTCAGTCCAAAAACCATGCGCCTCTCTTGTTCGTCGTGGACTTCTGGATTCCCCCGGTCTGCCGAAATGGTGCCCCAAAACAGGACGAAAAACCGGGTCGCCTCATCTTTCAAACTCTCACCTTCCAGTAACATGTATTGTAAGGTACACACAGAGACTTTACTTTCCATTCCATCTCTTGTCAGGTTTTGGCAGGAAACCTCTGGTCCCGACCAAGGCTTCCACCGACCGAACGACCGACAACGATCCCCAGTGTTGCCAAACGTGAAACGTCCCGGCCATCCCACACCAGCCCGCGATTACGATACCGAACCTCACATATCGCCAATAACGTCACGTCCAAGTCTCAATAGCAGAAAGTATCTATACCACAACACTTCTGCAAACTAATTCACGTCCGCAATCGGACTCTAATCGAAAAGAAGAGCCTCGTGCGTGACTGTCGTTGTCCATCGTGATAGTGCTCGAAATTTCCTTTGGATCTCACCTTCATCACACACTGCTCAACTGAGATGAGCAATTGCGCAGTCAAAGCCAACCAATATATCTATTTCACGTGCTCCGATGAAGCTGAGAATAAAAATCGAACACACCTATTTTTGACTGCGCGAGCTCGGCCTGAAAATAGTTTGACAGGCTCCCTCCCTCTCCCAAGTCTGCACCCACCTAGCAACATGTCAACCTCTCTTAACACCAAGCACTAAGCCCAAGATGACACCTCCCATCTTGGATCATCGCAGAAAACCAAAAGGCTTCAAACCCATCGACAACGTACACGCGCCCTCCAAATATACCCCCCCAAGACCATCACATAAGGCAGCAGCCCTTCATGCAACCCGTCCACAACGAAACCCATCCTCGATCTACAAGAATGAGTCCGTGCCACAGGTTATAAGTGAATGGTGACAGCGCGTCTGACGTGAGGCCACCCACCAAACGGAAATGGGAACCAGGAAATCACCAAACCATCACCAATCCTATCTCCTCTTTTCCAGATCCAAAATTGCGACTGGCTCCAGAGATCCAGGATCTCAGCCACACTTCCAGGCTTGGTCGTCTCCTGTTTGCTGTCTTGCCGTGATGTTCAAACATCGACAATCGCTCCAAATACCCATATCCTAATAGGGCAAGTAACTCCCTGGTCTATAACACCTCCCCTCGATCCTCTCCAGCCTATCCCGACCCCTACGACATCAGCTTCTCAAACACGTGAAGTGAAAAGCTGTCGCTGAGTCCGCCACGCGGCTGCCTGGTACGGAAGAAGAAATGAAGCGGCATTGCCTTTGCTGTAATACTATTCCATAAAGCAACGCTCTATACTACGTATTTTCAAGCAAGCGCTTGAAAGCTGTGCTCGGCAGCATGAAATGCTTCAATGCCATAGTGGAAGAGCGAGCTCCCGAGCAGTTGCTCAGTAAGCCCAACCAAAAAGATCTGAGTTGGTAAGATCTTCCCGCGTCATCAAGGACTCCTAGTATCCAGCCACCATTCCCTCCGTGTCGCCTCCCAAAAGTAGTGTTCCTCGCGTTTCTCTAAAGTCTACTGTTTCCTTAAGGGGTTTGTTTCGTGCTTCCAGCAAAGTAGAACTGAATCGACATTTACCCGCGGCGTATGATCTCGTCCATCGTGACTCGCCTGGTGTCAGCGATGCTGTGGTGCCCGCTTTCTCGATTCGACGGACATCACAATGTTCAATTCAGGCGGACTCATAGAAGCACTTCCAGAAGAACTAGACTTGGACCGGCAATAGCAAACAACAAGTTTTCGAGAGTCGCCTGATCGGACCCTGCCACGCTAGTACGTGGAGCCATGACCATCGGACTTCTCACGAATGGCCTTCCAGATATCGTTGCTCGAGGAGTGTACTTAAACGCGAGAGCAACATCAGCACAGGCACTGCCAAATACCACAAGTAATAATGCTGATGGAGTCCATACCTTTGGTTGGTAATCACCATCAACCATGGGATCTGACGAAGCACCCTGTATGGAATGATCAAAGAGCGCCTGATGTCCTGTTCGGGTTCGTATGTAGTCCGCTATGAAGACAGTGCCAATGATCGTCCAGATTGCGATAACAAGATAGACGAAGTTCCTGAATGTGAACCATCTCGGCAAGTGGATGGTATGGCCGTGTGGTTTGGCCGCTTTATGATGATGGTCGGGTTCGTGATGCGTCGTCTCTCTTGGAGCGTGCTTGGGGGTAGTCTCGGGAAGAGGGTTGCAAAAGAAGAAGAAGGACATGATGTCGATGCTGCTAGTCGAAGCTTGGGGTCCGTTGATTTCTTGGGGAATGTTGTTCGTTGAAGGATGCTGATGATTGAGATATGGCATGCCTCGTTAGCTAAGAAGGCTCGAATGATTGTGCGGTGCCGAGTGGGAGATACATAGATCTCCATAACGGAGGCCAGTCTCAGAGAAGCTTCCTCGGACTGATTTTCGAGATCATGAGGCTCTCCTTCCTCCTGAATACGAAAGCTTCATGGTAGTCGCAGGGGCGACAGATTGCAAATAGATTTCCCGCAGTAGATGGCACGGTAGCAACTCGTCAAGGCAGTTGCAATGGATGTTAGTCCGCCGACATCAGAACGTCAATATATGTGGAAGGAGAAGTGCGTTTACATCGGAAATCGGTGTCTATTGTATTTGGAGAGGCTCTTGCCATCATCATAACTCAAGGTCTCCTAGGAGGGCCTCTCTATGTTGTTCTCTGACAGGGTATTATTTATTAATCCATCTCCATCGTCGTTTCTTTTCCCAAGGAAATGGCTTTCGAAGGACCCTTGGTGACGATTAGCTCTCCCGGCAGACCACCCTTTTTCCCAGCAAATATGGAGCAAAGTTGACCAACCCCTTTGCAAGTCTAGAAACGAGTCTCCGTACGCCCGTCCTCTTGCTATCAACGCCTTGAAAAATGCCCTGCTTCAATACGAAGCTTCCGTGTATTCGCAAATGGGGTATAATCCATAATCCAATCCGTCGTAAAAGTGAATGCACAAGATGTACAGAAGAAGAAGATATGTTTTCGTGGTCAATTACATCCACACAGTGAAGAAGATCATGACACCAACCAAGCCAACAGCCATGCCGGCGATTTGCTTGGTACCAGATCCCGAAGGTCTCTCGGGTGCCGAGGACTCGGCGGATTGTGTGGGCGCTGCGGAAGCGCTGGTGCTTGAGCCCGAAGTCACTGATCCTGTCGGGCTCGAAGAAAAGCTGCCCTTAAACGTCTCTCCGAGAGTAGGAAGACGGACGTTTCCGTCCACCAACCAACCCCCCGTGGCTTTGGGACAATCGCGGGTAGAGACACTTGTCGGGTTATAGTTTGATTTCGCGACTCCTGAGGGAGTGATGGTGGCCCATTTGGCCTGCAGATTCTGGAACTCGGGGGCTCTGGGGGTTGGAGTGCCTTTGCGGGTAAAGCCATCGTATACGTCGTCAGCGGTAATGGTCTTGGAGACTTCGGGTCCGTATGATACGATGCCGTATCGATTCTCCTCGTAAATCCATTCGTAAACCATGGCTCCACTCCAGTCATTGACCATGGGCTGGCTGAAGATGGCGTTCTGATCGTCCCACGTACGCGGGCCTTGGCCTGTGATGCATCCAGTTTCTGTGAAGAAGATGGGCACAGGAAACTTCTCGGCCATAGCTTGCAGGTTTGTGTATCCCGAGGTCTCGTACGTGTTTGGGTCGCACCACTCGTACGAGTTGAGTCCGAAAAAGTCGATGTTGTCCTCTGGCTTTCCGCCACAGGTCAGGTAGTCCTGGAGCATGGGTCGCAATTCAGCAATGTCTGCCGCGGAGTAGCCGACCGGGATCTTGCGATAACCCTTCTTGTCGCGGTAGGCCTTCATGTCTCGCGCAGCAGCCTTCATGAAAGGGGCGACCTGGGACTGAGTGGGAAGCGCAATGATCTCATTGCCAATGAAGAAGCCGAGAACATTGTCGTATTTCGCAAAGTTGTCCATTACCTTGGCGTACGCGTTGAACTGCGTCTCGTTCCAGTAAGGGGTATTCTAAACCTCTTGTTAGTCAAAGCACGTGAGCAGGAAGTATGACAGAACAGGGCGGCACCAACAGGAAGAATGTACGAGTCAAAGGTGTCCAAGTCGATGAGGGTGTATATGCCGGCCTTGTCAAAGGCAGCCATGCACCCGTCGTGATTTGCGCTGGAGTCAACGTGGTAAACGCGAATTGCGTTGGTACCCAGCGCCTTCATGAGGTTGGCGTCGCGGGTGCATTGATCAGTATCAACCAGTGGGTCATCTGGATAAGCTTTGGTGTTAGACAGTGGGCTTTGTAAGTGTGCATTCAGACAGGCTGGGCTAACCTGGTGTCAATTGGTATGCAATGCCTGTGATTGCGTCAGTCCAGAGGATTCTAGTCAAAACGGCAGTGGATGATTGGCGTACCCTTCATGAACCATTGCTTGCCGCTCTCGTCGAAGAATTTGCTGCCTACAATCTCGATTGGTGCGAGAGCTGCGGCGGTGCCAAGCAATAATGCCGAGACGAGCTTGGAGACTCGCATGATGAAGGAGTAATCGCAAAGAAATCCTCCTGATAAGCTTCGACTAGCAAATACAGCAATGGTGAGGATGCGACAAATGATGAGGATGCTGATGCCTTAGTGCTGCGGCTCCCAAGCAAGCCAAAAAAAAAAAAAAAGACTAAGTAACTGGTGATGATGTTGGGAATCGAGAGTTGTTGGTTGTAGCTCGCTCCGACGGGAGATATCGAATTAATGGCGAAGAACACCTCAGCAGGGCGAATGCTGAAAAGAGCAGGTGCTTTTGCCAGGCGAGGAAAGTAATGACTGTTGGCCGTGGTTGCCTCTTTTCTTGCAGGTCTTCACAAGTTGTCGTGTTCCTTCCTTCGATTTTGTCGAGTATTCGTCGTGCGCCAACCGCAACCAATTCCTTCTTTCGCGATTACAATGTCGTACAAGGCGACACTATCACACCGCAACCGACGTCCGTTCTTGGCGAAAACGACAGAAAGATCCAAACAGGGCAGCAACAGTGTTGGACGTCGTTCAGACGAGGTGGAAGGAAAGAGAATTCGCCTTTCAGGTATCGTGGATAAGCAACAGCCTCACCTCAAGATGATGGGAACACCTTGCCAGGGGGACGGGGAGGGAAGCTATCGATTTTATTGTCCCAGCTTTGCTACTGCAGCTCAACGCGGGAGACACACCGAACAACAAGGCCCTGCAGACTGCATTTTTTTCCACTCTCTTTTCTTTACCCCTGCTGGCGTTCTTACAAGTAACTACGTTCCTCTCTTGCTCTTTTTGGAATCCCATCCCACCTCTCCACACACGTGGAGTGCCAAACGGATGAGAAAACTGCCTAAGACGAGAAGCTTGGAGCTCGCTCTGGTGCTAGCAAGGAGCCACGGAGCCTGGTCTAGGGTGGGAAACGACGGCGGCAGGGGTGCGTTAGGTGCGCAACGAGGGAAAAACGAACCAGGAGTTCAAGCTTGAAGCAACAAGGCCGACTGCATGGGTCTGGATCAATGGAGGTGCGCCATGTTGTGCCATTGGCGGCGGGCCAGGGGTGAAGACGGCCTATCTTGATTGTCGCCCGGCCCAAGAGTGGTCCAGAGACTCCGGAGTCACAAAAGTCTTGACTCTGACTGGTCTCAACACCCTGGCCTTTCTCACTCGACACACAACCGACTCGACATGGACTGCCTGCTGCAGAGAGACCGGCGGCGTTGGTCGGCCTCATTGGGGGCAACGCGGGTGGGTGATGCAAGACGCAACACCAGAGGAGGAGTCACCCAGTAAGCAGGCTGGGTCTACAAGATGCAGACGCGTCTTTTCTTGGTCTTGGTTGACAGCTATGACATCTCTCCTCCAGGGCTGATGATTTTCATCGGAATCCTTCGATTCTTCCCGCCCTCCTCTCTGCCTCCAGAGTCCACAACAATTACAGATACACAAGCATATCCCCCCTCACTCAATCGATCAAGGAAATAACCTCACAGGGTCGGCACGGAGTTGCGGGTACTACTCCTAGACTCTCTGCCCTTGTTTCAATCTCCAGACTACAGACAATGAAGACACAAAAGCAAACTCGGCCGTCGTTTCTTTCTTTTGCCCCCACGGCTACAAACAACATGGCGCCATCCACCCGAAGCCACGCCGTCTTTGACGCCTGCCCAACCAGACCGGTTTCTTTGCTGTCCCAGTCCGATAAAATAGCCCGCCACTTTTCGTCGCCTCTCACTAGCCTCGCGTAGCCACACGTCCACTCGAACACGAGTCGGGCACCTGGGAAACGGACCGAGCTATTCTGGCTGAGGGGTGGCTGCTAATGCTAGGCTGTCAGCCAGAAATTTAGTGCTCCGACAAAATGCAGCCAACGACGAACGAGGACGCCGACAGCGAGGCATTCAACTCGCCACAATGCCTTGCCTCGCCTCTGCCATCTTCAAGTTGGATGCCTCCTCCCAATTGCGACGACCAGTGCTGGGATTAGGTCGTCCTCAACGAACGAACCGCTTTTTGCCAGCTGGTCCCTGCTACCCGAGCTTTCAACGTAACGGCGAAAACTCCGTCCTCACCCCCAGCTCATCACGGCTAGCCTCGACGCGATTTACTTGCTTAATGTCCTCTGCTTCTTCACCGGCTCGCCTAGACCACCTTGCGGGGATACCTCTCCAGATTAGCGATGGTCATCCCACAGGGTGCGGCTGGAAATTGGCCTTTTTCCCGTCTTCATTTCCTGTTCGCGGTGTATTCAACAGCCCCCAAGGTCGAGGGCGGCTACACGGCAGGAAAGAGTGGCCTAGCAATAATGGCTTCCGGATAATGAGTATGACGCAACACTCTGATCGCAGCGTCTCATTGAAAATCCCTCTTGGCCCTGCAGTCAGGCAAGCGTTGACACGGACAAGGGTAAGCTTAACCCCCGGTCCCGTTCACTACCTGTGGACCTTATCCGGCGAGGGTTGCAACGGCCACTGCAAAAAAAGAAGTGAAAAATCTGGGCTTCTGTTTCGTTCGAGGAACACCTTGACTCCCTCTGACCGCGAGCCCACTGATCTGAAGAGCAGGGAGTCCAGGGACTCAGGGAGAGGGTTCGCAACAAACAGAGAGCGAATTGATGTCACCTGTGGACCCAGGCGTCAGCTTCGTCGCATTGCGGCACCTTGACACCCTGGGCGAATCCGTCGTTGGATCCCTCCGAGGAGCCTCTTGGCCGCATCTTCTCTGCCATTGCCCGTCGCAAGTGATGCGTCGTAGCATTGAAGAAGGTGGCATGCCGCAGAGAGGTGATGCAATGGGCCGTCAGCTGCATCAGTGTAGACGTTTGCATTCACTTGCGGCGCACCCCGCCGCGTGTTGCTCATCCAACAGGAGCAATGATAACACGACGAAAGAAAGCAATGCGAAGTCCAAAGGAGCCTTCTTATTTGTAACACGGCGACGAAATGGTTTCGTCGAAGAGGAGAGCTGCCATGGTAACGAGCCTTCGGCAACTGACCGTCTCAGTGAAACATGCATTTGATACCACTGTCGATAATCTCATCATGACCTCTCCATCTCGTTTGGCAAGCTGTCAGAACATTTATTTGCAAGCAGCACAAAAGCTCCCTTCTGGCCGGCACCCTGCATGGGCTGAAACATGAAGGGAAACCCCCTCGTCGCTCCATTAACAAGCTCGACTCGACCTTCCCCGCCTGCCTCCGCGGCATCCGTGAGAGTTATTAGCAGTTCAAGTATCCATACGGAGTATCCGTACAGATTGACGAAGGCGGGGGGTGTTGCTGCTCGACACTTGAGTGCCGTCAGCATTCGATGGGCAGACATCGAGTCCAGCGGGGAATAGTAAGGGTCTAACGGGCAGGTCAATTGCCAAGCAAACGCCGCGCGCCCATCAAAAAAGCGACGGGCGATCTGCTCTCTCGGTCTGGGCGAAGATAAGGGCAGTGACACCTCACTTCCAGAATAAGGCTAGGTTAGCCTCTCAGAATCCCATCCCATCGTCCGGCACTCGAATCGCTTGGCTTTTGTCCTCGTCCCTCGTCCAGAAAGCCGACAAGAGAAACCAATGGTGCGGGGAGCTAAGCTACTGTAGTCGGCCAGTTCTACACCGACGAGTCCAGTTTTGGGACGGCTTCGGGGCGTTGCCCCGAAGACGTGGCGGCCACGCTTTTCCCCGGCCACCTCCCAAGATGAAGCCAGATGCAGCCAACGAACACACTATGCGAAGCAAGAAGCTCTGGTCTGTCTCTCCCGCCGTGTCGCTCGCCCAAATGCAACATGGAAGCCTGCGCATTCGGCATGTTCCAGAGAGGTAGATCCTCAACCCACCTCCACTTCCAGTCCCCGCATGCCATGCCATGCCTACCAACAAACGACGAATCCCAGCTGCGACTCTGAGGTTGCAACTTCCGAGTCTGCCTACCTAGTCGAGCATCGAAGTGCCCCTCCCTCCCCTGGTTCAGTGGCAACGCGAAACGGGGGTTGACGTCTGCTTCCCGCAAAGCCACCAAGTGGTCGCAGCAGAGTTATTGGGGTGGTTCCCGGCTGTGGCCTTGAACCTTTTTTCGTTCGTTTTGGGTAGGGAAGTAGGGAGAAGACGTGATGCCTGTGCAACGTGGTTCTGGTTCACGGTTGACGAAGAAAAAAACGCTGATCGATATCCCTTCTCTGTCGCTGTCGGCCCTTGCCGCAAGGTCCCTTATTTCCATGCATTGGACCTGGGAAGGGCAATATCTTTAGAACAATTCTAAAGATATTGAACAATGCAAGGGCAGATGACTAAATTGTAGTGAGATCTGTTTTCTTCTGGTCGGTAGGGAGGGTGGATACAGACTCATCGTGAACTTGGCGACTGTGCATCAACCGCCCTGACTGTATGGTGTAAGCCCGTTGGCGTTCTCAGTCGAGGCGTAATGTGAATATTACTTGTCGCTTCCTCTTTGGAGAGTCCTTATCAAGTACAGATGTAACAAGCATTGGGTTGGTGAGAAGAGCCCAGTTGTAGAGGGAAACTACTCATCAGCTCCTGTGGTTATGAGCCTGACTTAGTCTACGTTTAACGGCCTGCTTTCGCTATGAAATTTATTGAGGACAGTCTTCGACGTTCCTATATAGATACAAACAACGGCGTCTTCCCTTCTGCCTTTGTTTGAGAATGCACGCAGGCTTCTTACTTGGTGATCTGTCATCCTTTCTCGCTCAAAAGTTGTCGAGATACGCGCTGCTCCGTCAACTCGATCTACTGGCGAACCTTCCCCGAGTTCTAGCCAAGAAGTCGAGAACCCTGAGCGTTCGCTACCTGAAGAACCATACAGTTGAGGGGTCCCTCAGAAGCCTCTTGGTTTCTTCATCTATTTGTGTTCCTTTCTGTGGGACTGCGCGGAAATAGTGAGACATGAAAACCGGTAGAGCTCACTGAGCAAGCCAAGCGGTGCAAGCACTCTCCTCCCTATACTACCGACAACTCATTTTGATAATAATTGATCGTGAACGAGGCGGCATTACAATCATCAGCCCAAGGGGTTTTGCCAATTAAGTTCTCAGCTCATATAAACTAGGCTCAGTAAAGGATCATTCAAGCCAGGGGCTCGCTTCATGTTACCATTTGCGTGATCCCACAGCCGCTACATTGAGAAAGGTAAGATGTTATGACTTCCTTGAAGATTCTCGAGGTGTCCAGGTCAGTATTCGTCAAAGGCAGCCAGCCAGAGCGTCTATGGAAGCTCATAGCCTAGACTAGATGAAGAGGTAGCTAGACTATGCTGAGAGTATGTTCCCCCTCCAGTCATGTCAGCAAAGCGGCCTTGACCGGATTTTTATCACGGATCGTCATGACGTTGATCGGGGCGGGTATGTACTCTTTTTTTTTTTTGACGAGGAACTTGTGGCAAAGAACCACTTAGAAGGGTGTGGCAAGATGTTGACATCGTCCAAAGTCGGGCCATCGTACGTCCGGAACGAGTATCGGCGAGAATCAAGCGAAGAGGGATTTACTTCTTTATGGCTGATGAACGACTCGCTGCATAAGAGTAAAAGTATTGAAGAGATGTCTTCTCAAAGCTTCATATTTGAGGCTAAGCTTATGGTCGGAAACTGAACTGACTCCTCATGGGTGCTTCACTTACACAGCCGTGAGGAGCGAAGGACATCGCGCTTCTTGAAACATCAACAGATGAAATAGCCACATGATGAGATCTCTGTGACCCCAATCTCATAAGCCAATGAGTCTCGCGCCGATGTACAACGGTTTGGATTGAGTGGCCGCCATGCTGCGATGTTGTCGGGCGCGTTTGAGATGGGGTATGGAGTTAGGTGCAAGTGTATTGTCTCTGAGCTGATTGATCCGCCGCATCTCCAGCAGAATTTGTTCACCTTGGATTTCCATTCTCGTTTTCGTTTCTTGCAATGCCACGAAACTTGACTTCTTCGGTATGAGGAATTGCTTGGGAATATTGTGAAAAGAGTGTGGAATGCGGAAGTTCTCAAACATGCCTATAGGCAGGATTTCCAAGTCGAGGAGATACTGGACTAATAACACGGACTCAGTGTGTGTAAATGCCTACCTAACCTCTTCAAAACGGGTAAATATGTTACATACCTAGAGAAAACTGGTGTTACTTTCAAAGAGATGGATAGACGAACTTCTATATCATATTCCGACCGGCAACCTGGTTCAACGAAAAACATCATATCTACCTGGAATTGCCATTACATCTTAACCCGGAGCAACTGGAGCATGGACAAACCTATTCTGTATTCTTCACAAACTACGATTGAGCAGTATCATGGCTTTTCCGAGAAGACGTGCCGACTTCCAAGCACCTAGAACGTCAAGATCACAGACCGCACATGACTATACTGAGCCAGACTCCAGACAAACAAGTAGCTCCCTCTCCCTCAGAAAACTATGAGAAACTGAGTCCTTACAATTCGGCTCCCGCTGTCTCAATTTTGTGCAAGAAAAGGAAACTTCCGGAGATAAAGTGGCACTCGAGGCCATGCCGGACCTATCGCCGAGAGTTTCCAAACTTGTCCAACGGCATCGAACCCCGTTGCACCCATAGGCGAGGAACAGTCAGCTATGCAGGATACCATTCTGTGTGGGAATAGAAAATCAGGCAGGTAGACTCATTACAGATAATTCCATGTGTTCGGTGCAGCCAGAAAGAATGGCAATGAGCGCACTACTCTCCCTCCTCATTGTTCATCTCTTTTCGCAGTTCACCACAGCGATGTAAGTCGAGACCAACGAATCCTCCCCGCCAGTCTCTACCATCAAGCATATATATCCCCAAGATATCCACACATTCTGCAAAAGTAACCTAGAGGGTTCAAGATCGCTCGACCTGGTTTATCCCGGGGGGTTTCTTTATCACCTCCAGCTTTATCCTCTACTACAACTTGGGAACGACTGTCCCGGACATGTCAACGTAAAATAAACACACCCAAAAATTTAAAGGTAAAAAATAAATAAAAGGCGTGGGCATTTATGGGAAACACGTCCAAGTTCAATGTTCGATTCCTATACCAATCGATTTACGCACAAGATACCCACAGACCTGGGAACCCAAACTCGGAGAGTAGCACCCGAACAGCATTCCCAAGCTCCTGAACAACATCAAGACTCAATACTAGATTCAGGAGAAAACTCCGTGGATTTCACTCGAACACAGCCGCATCCTACTCTGTATGAATAAATAGGCACCTTTCCTTTCCACGAAGAACCAGTCGCCGCATCACTTCAACCGCCAAACACTCTTCACTTCATATCCCCCACGTGTATCCTATTTTGGGTTTCCCTCTTTCAAAAACGCGGGGTTCATCCGCCTTCACAGGGATGCGCGAGCAGGTTAATCACCCGTAATACAGCAGACGAAAAAAAGACACAAGCAGCTCGGAATACCATTCTAATCCAGCCCATCATTTGCACAAAAGCCCCATAGAGCCTGTTTGTTGCCCGGTTCAGTCTGCCCACTCTCCCGCCGCCCAAAACAGCTCTTCCAAACTCTACCTTCTCTGTCAGGGGGGGTAGACAAACCAACAAGCGTGCCAAACTAATCGATTGTGATTTGCTGCAAAACTCAGTGCTTACCGCAATGTTGCAGCCGCTGCTCGTGCGGCACGCCGCCGCCGCCATCGACCCCAACATCCCCAAAAGGAATAAGGTGGGAGAAAGCCTCACTTACCTTACTCCTCACTACCTTAGTCCTCACAGCCTGTGAGACCCCCCCCTGCTGGAAAAAAAGCCTCTTTGGAATTCCGTTTGTCATGTAAACCGCCCATTCGACGAATCCACGGCCATCACGTAACCAGTGGTACGAATAATGCCATTCTTCGCTCCATTTAACCAGCGGA